GTTTTTAAATAACGTTAACGGCTAGTCTCCAGATTTTTTTTTTGCTCAGTACAGGAAGTCTTTAACTAATGTCGGAATTCTGTTCCTATGGTGCGAGTTACGTTGCACCATAGTAACGGAATTCCGACATGAGCTTTTTTTTTTTCTTGTATGTCAGAACTTGCATACATTACCTACCTATGTAACTCACCAATGCCAAAGTGGTTAGATCATAATCAAGCACAGAGGTGTCCTACTCATTTTGGTTCATGGGCTACATACAGTCTGATTAGATGTCAAGTGGGCTGGACTACTACAATCATCACATAATTAATTACAAAAAACCCCCCAAAAAATGTCCATGAAAATATAAATATTTAATGAAATATAATCTTACAAAACATCATGAACATGGAGTACATTTTTAAAAAAAAATTTTTTTATTTGAAAATTCATCAAACGGGCTGGATTGAACCCTCTAGCCGGCCGGTTTTGGCCTGCAGGCCCTATGTTTGACACCCCTGATTTAGGACATCAGAAGAGTGCAGAAAAATCCAACGTATGGCGTACAACTAACATGTTGTATATAATGTAAACAAAGCTAGTGAGGAAAACCTTGGTCTTATCAATGTTCAGTTTAGAGAACTCTCATGCAGAACTGTGTTTAAATTAATAAATTCTAAATAAAGATCTGAATTATGACAGCAGTGTCAGGTATGAACAGTACTAACTTTACTTTACACTCCTTTGGTCGAGGAATAAACAAAAACAAAAAAAAGACAAATCCCACATGATCTGTATAAACAAAATAATCCACATCTTGGTGTTCCTTTGACTGTGTCGTAGTTTAGTGGAGCAGATGAAGGAGGCAGCTCAGGCCTACATGGACCTGCTGGAAGGCAAAGACAAACCAGTGTTTGGATCCACATGTAAGTTTCACTGCAGTGTTTTCCGAAATGTAGGACATTTATATTATTTTGATGGTATCAGGTTGGTCTTTACCACGTGCAGTGGTTATTGCTGTGACCAATTTCTAAACAGAATTACACAGAGTGCCTTTATATATTGTTTTATTGATATTCAATCATCTGAAAATGCGCTGAGATGTGTGGAGGTTTTAGCTCCGACTCTTCGTAACGTCTGATTAAGACCCACTTCTAAGTTTCGATCGGCGGAACAACAAAAGGTTGAAAAGTTTCATGATACTGTTTGAGAGGCACGGCCATGTGCTGAGGAGAGATGGTGGGATGAAGTACAAAGGATTCGTGTTGGAAAAAAAAAAAAATAGCCAAAAAAGTATCGTATGGAATCAAAGAATCAGGTGTCGTCCATCAGTACTGTGTATAAGTATTGGTATAAACACTGTTTCTTATTCCTCTCCAGTTAAACTGTTAAAAGAGGAACTCACCCGGCTGCTGAATTGCAAGTACTTCAGTTGTCTTCCACCTCCGTCCAGCGTGAATGCAGAGGAGCTCAACAGCGCCACCAGCTTCGGCAGTAAGAACATCGCACACAGAAAAAAATGAGAATTAACCAACAATATTGCAAACTCAGATTTTATAAAAACTTAACACACCATTTTTCTGAGTAGGAATATAATATATTCATATATTAGGAATCAGTTGCTACATTCGGATTATTTAACAAATTAAATTAAATTATTACACTGGTAAAAAAGGTGCTTGCTGGTGTAATGTGGTTGGAGTACATTGAGCATGAGTTGCATGATAATGAGATTTTAGTGACTTAAAGATTGAAGATCATATAGATCAGGGGTTCCCAACCCCCGGTCCACGGACCACTACTGGTCTCGGGGCGAAGTGACGAAGTGAAAAATATTACATTTACTGGCTCTGTCACTGAAACAGCAGAGTAGCATTCTTTTTAATCGTCTCCTTTTCAGTCATCTGCCAAAATTAAGTTTCCGAACTTTCTCTTTTCAGCAATAACTGTAAAGTCGAAAATGAATGAAGGTTTTGAAGAGGTAAGATGTCCAAGTATCAAAGTCTGTATTGTGATTGGTTTTTTTTTTCCTGGTGTTTTCCACTTACCTGGTGTTTTCCATTTAAGACTATAAAGTGAGATTATTTCTTCCCAGAACTGGAGAAAGGACATCCAAGCTATTAGAGAGTGGGAGACACAAGTCTCTAAGGAAATGGATGTTAAAGATGGGGCCCACCCTCCTGGCAGGACTCCGTACAAACCAGTCAAAGGGGCTGCAGCCTTTATCCCCAAAGTCCCACTCGGGAAAAAGCAGAATACCGACTGCAAACAGGTAAAAAGCTTTCTACAGACGGAGGGATGTAGCCTTGTGTTTTCCGTTATATCAGTGTTTCCCAAACGTC